TTGTACACCATGCAACCTCAATGCATTTTTTTTTCGGTAGACATTCACATTTAACTTCTGATTTTGATCTAACAAAACTCTATTGGTTACTTTTGATTGCAATGAGCTTAGCAACAATGTATTCCAATAGTTCCGTGGCACTGTTTTAGATATACACGTCTTGCAACTTTTCTCGCAACTTTTGCTAATTTTTCTTGCAACTTTTCGCAACTTTTGCTATTTTCCAACGCAACTTTCTCTGAGGACAGTGTAATAGTGTAATAGAAAATAAAAGTTGTGATAGCTATATATATGTACCCCCCTCGATACAATTTAGATCATCCAGGAATCGAGCTGCTTCGGCCCTGCCTGTCAGGGCCCACCCATGCTGAAGATACAACACAATGTCCGGGTAGATGGATTTGTTTGTTTGAGTAAATAGAAAATAAAAGCACATCGACACTATAATGGCCTTTTAGTGCTGGGATAAAGTAAGATAGACAGACAGAAACAACTGAGGGTGGGGAGGGGGAGTAAAGAAGTAGGGCCTACCTATGGCAACCCCAACCAACAGCTCATTTTCAGCATGAAATTAACTGAGAAAGCGTCTAATGTTACACAACGGATGCCTTTACACAAAAGACAGCTGAGTTTAATACATGTAGTACCTGTAACAGAGATATTATTTTTCAAACCAAATGCTATTAATCTACTGCTCAGTGTAAGTCTCCGTCATAGGCTCTTTTCAAAAGGGCAGTGTCTTACACTAAGCAGTTGGAACTGTTCATGTTGTATGTAGTTGCAGCTAGCATTCCACAGGAAGGCGATATACAGATGGATGCCCTAGTTTAGAGACATCTTCAAGCTCAACAAAATGTAAATACAAAGGAAGAAAGAAGGCCTCTAAAGAAGAAGGTGCGTCACTCTGAATCAAACAAACTCAAAATTTTAAGTCAAAGCAGGATCTAAAAAAAATGCTCGAAATCCTGCTTGAGAGCACTTTTTGTACACATTTTAGTATCATTAAAATTATGATACACGGTATTTATTATATGGGACACGGCGCACCGGCAGTGGAATTTTAGTTGCCGCGGGGGGTTCCCCGCTGGGCGCCTTATCACGTCGGGGTCACGGGGGTCAGCTCCCTGTCGCCGCTCTGTCTGGGCCGACTTAATTTTTGGTACTTTTCAACGTACAATTTAAGGTGCATCCTTGTATTTATGGTAATTCTCATTTAGTGCACCCAAAGCACGCATTTCTGCTCTTGAGACTCAAAAAAGAACGGACGTTGTAACTTGTCTGGTTATTTCGTTAGACGCGCTGGAGTCGGCAATGCTAAATTGTAATTTTTTTGGGACTAGCGTGAATGAAAAAAAATCAATATAAAAAAAACGCATCGTCAAAATCTGTCCAACTTTTGGAATATGAACGACATAACATTAGTGCAGATACTCAGAAAAGATGGTATCTGCGCTTATAATAGAAGGCTGTAATTTTACAATTTTATCCATCGGGCACACAATTCGCTACGAAGTAATTCTTCCAAATACAACTTTATGTGTCTAATATAATCATGAATATTCGCATATTTTCTCGAAAGTTTATAAAAGTTATCATGAAGTTTCTCAATGAAAGTACAAATCGATTTTAGTGCTAGAATATATCTTCAACGTAGATCTAATACACGAACAGTATCTGTTACACTCCAGAAATTGCTTACTTTTCTTAAAACGCTAAGTCTAGGTTTTGTAAGTGGACTGAATAATAGGGATGACTTCTCGTAATTGGGTTATAAGAATAATTTCTAGCTTTCCAGGGACACTGAATCAGCACCAGACTTTTCCAGCTTTTTTTACGTTTCTATGACCATTTGCAATAACTGACAATGTGACTGATTTCTTTACATTCATAATTGTGTCCGCGCATATTTCCTACACAAAAACTAAGAATGAATGTTTTAGCTGTCGTTATTTTTATTCCATACTAGAAGTTTATCTCTACCCATGTATTTACACGGTTTTGTGGTTTTTTAAATCGCTTATATTATATCTTTTTAGTTGTATGCAGGCTGCCACAGACACAGCATGATTCATGAACAAACGCAGAGTAACTTTCTCTTGTTTAATAGTAAAATAAGAGCTAACGCAGATCGTCTTTAGTTAAAACATGCAGATGTGCATCTTTCTTCTCTTATAACTTGACTATTACTACTACCGCAGATTTAAGATTTCTCATGGTAAAAGACATGATATTCGTAGTCAGTTTAACACAGGATTTGGAGAGATCTGTCGTGCCTTTTTTAAAATAATCATTTATTCATAACTTTGTAACTAAAATAGGACAAATTGGGTACTCTACAAACACTTGACTAGAACAAAAACTAAGGCACAGAAACTAACCATTCTAACGCAGAATAAATCTCAAGACATTGAGCTTTTAGTACATTCGCGTAATGGTTTGCTGTGTGGGATGGGGAAGAAGTTATATCGTTTTAAACATAGTCAAAAATGCGAACTTCCCGACCGACACCGGCAAAGTCGCCTCAGGGCTCATTAACCCCGTGACCCCGAGCCGGGGAGCTCCGGTGGGCTGCTGAGTCACGCGAACTAAAAGTAACAGAATCGGGCGAAAAGTGACGCCGTGGGGAAAGATTACCTTATTTTGTGCAATTTCAATTTCTCTTGTCCTACTCTTAATTTGGTTGGTTTTTCTGCTAAGAAAAGAGGCATCTGGATAAAATGTTGTGATATGGTGATAATTGCCTCCTCTTCAACTTTCACATCATCGACAAATCCTCTACATTTCCGAGTTCCTGACTCATCTAAATGTCTATGGAGTGCGAGTCTGAGGCCATACATGTGCTGGAAGCACAAAGCAGGTATCTCCTTGCCCTTTAGAGAAGACAGACTAATCCATGAAATATCAAAACTGTTTTCATTTGATGAAATAATAGTACATTTTCCATTTCATACGCTCAGTCAAAGACAGGTCTGAATTTTGACTAAAATTGCTTCATAAACATTAGAAATAAAGCTGAACAACCCATCAGCTGCCAGCCATTAAGTAGCTATGTGATGAAGCAAAACAAGATTTTTGCATCTCTTATAAAATTTACCCCACTGGGGTTAGCCGCTTTTATCAATAAGACTGTGTTCTGCTAAATAAGTGTGTCTGTGGGGGCTCAGATCCAACAGGTTCAGTGAACATACACTAAAATTAATTCTCTGGGGTGAAAGTTGGATATGTCTGTGACACTATGAGTAAGACTGCTGCTACCTTGAAAAGCACAGCTTACTCAGCAGCTTAGAAAGCCACACTATGGAATGGACTTTTCTATAATAAGCTTCCATATCAGCTTCGAGTGCTGGGCTACAGAACAGACTGCAGGTCACTTGTTTCCAACGATGATAAAGACTACTTAATGATAATACAGTTGTATATAAATGGTTGAAACCATAATGATAACACCAAACAAACTTGTTTAGTTTTAGCACAAGTTTTATGACCCTTGCAATACAAATAGGCCATACAAGTGCCGAAGATTAAAAGTGTTACTAGTGGGAAACGTACAATTAAAAGGAGAAGACTAGATGTTTGATGGTAGGAAAGACGGAGTAAACTACATCAGACACATGCCAACCACCAACACAAGCTGTTGAAAGCACCCTTTCTTTGGGACACAAAGAGAAAAACCCATGGACCAGCAACAAGTTTGTGAAGAATTCACCAGTTTTATTGAACTTAAAAATCACGTTGTCAAACAGTAGGCCAAAGTCAGTGCTGTATGTACATGAAACATGACAAGGACAAGGTTTCCACCCTTCACTGACAAGGCACAACTACGGTCTGTCCTGTATTCTGGATCTGCTGCTTTGCTGATGCATAGTGGAATAGCATCAGGGGGTATTTTAAAACATTCTGTTACTTTACCCATTTTTTTCATAAGTAGTCCTGTCTGCATACTGGGGTCCTACACAGGTCAATGAATATATTACCCTCAGTATAAGGGATTCGTCAGCCTTACCTAATGATAACACATTGAAATTCATAAAACAAACCAGGTGTCAAATTACTAAATCAAGAGAACAAAATACTAGGGAAAAAAAACTAACTACACATCTTTTTTTTCAAATCACAAGTAGACAGTATCTACTTCCATCCAATCATTGTACATCCAGTCTCTCGCTCAGCCACTGGGCCTCACACACATCGTCATGAAAAGAAAGACTCACAAGTTCACCAACCCAACCCCCTCCCTTTCACTGACAATATATACTACAGAGTTTTCACCTAACACAATAAGTATGTCATAGTGGCAAAAGGTGTTTACTTAGAGAGCTGATCTAAATATGGAACTCCCACTGTGTTTCCGGCGGCAGCCATCGTAGGTTTGGAACTGGCAATCTTCTTTGCAGCCTGCAAGCAAAATGTAAAATAATTAACTATGTTTTTTGTCTAAATTTGGTTTGTTTCAACATATAAATGGGAGTCAGAGAAGCACATATATTGATATATGTATAAAAACGAGTGTTTGGTGCTGGGGAAAGGGAAGACAGACAGAAAGAACAGAGGGGCAGTAAACAGTGCATCCACCAGCTGAAGCTGAAAGGTAAGGAAAATTCTGCCGGGGGTCTGAACTCAAGAAATTGAAATTAAGTACTTCTAGAGGGTTGAAAATGGCATTTGGGAGCCTGTTTGAGAAGAGATTACCAACAACCCATACTACCTATTTTTTCACTAAAATTTTGTCTTGTTTGATTTCTTCACCAGCATATCTTTCCATTGCTGGCAATGTTTAAAATCAGGTTCCCCTTCCATTGCTACTATAATTCTATTAATTTGTCATCGCACCATTGATAGAAAGCAAACCTGGGAATAATGAATATATATGTACCTTCACAATACAGTTACTCAGCGTATAGGCCTACCCAAATTTTAACGTCTGAATGTCGCATATCACAACCCCGGAACACCACTTCAAAATATTCTTGATTTTAGTAGTTTTAGCCCAAATTTCTTTCATCGCTGCCCTTATCGCGTTTCCGTGTGCCGTAGAATCTTCACACTGATAATTTCTCTAGATCTAGACAATAAATTTGTAAACAAGTTTCTTTCTGACTGTAATATTCTGTCTAAGATCAAAAGTCATTATACTTGATCAAGGCGCAGATTTTCCAGCCACGGCAACAATCCGAAGATAGGCAGATGGAATGAGGGAATGATAGAAAGGAGGAAAGTGGCACGAAAAGTTCGCCAGACTTTGATCAATCTGCAGGTAAAAAATGTACTGCCGACCAACCTGCAATGAATGCATGGGGCATAGCGGAATAATGGCTGATGGCAGGAAATGCGCAATCTGGCAGGTTTCTATAACATAAACTATTGCCGAGAGAATAACCGTAAATATCCTCAACTTATACAAGATGATACTAAGGTGAGTACGGATCTTTTGCTACGGAATTTCGGTAGCCCTATGCTGTCGCAGATTTTTACGGAGGGAGTTGATTATGATGGAGGAACAAGCAGAAAGTACGGATTTCCGTAAAAATACGGAAGAGAGGAAGCACTGAGTAAAGTAAGTTATACTGGTGGCAACTTCAAAGCACTCTCAATTAGAACTGAAAGGAGCGGACAAACAACAGACACATGAACGACACAAGGGCACGACGACTTTTGAAAAAATTACAGTTCTCAAGATCCAATATGACAATAAGAAAAGCAAGAAAGGATTTGCAAAGACCATATCTTTGTACAGTGGAACTTGGATTCAACGAGAACTCGGATCAACGAGATGAGACAGATTCCCCGGTTTTTTTCTTCTTTAACCGTTTTGCACTTACAGCGCCCGTATGCGCCCGCGCCGGTGACCTCCGCTCATCCCTATAGCGCCCGAATGCGCCCGCCAAAGGGGTGTTTGTTTCGTTGCCGCGGGAGGCTTCTACTTTTACTATCATCAGAAGTTTCACTTAGCTATCTTTATACAGGAAGAGTTCCGGTTTACTATGGTGTTTTTCTTGTTTCGCTAGCACAAAGAGTCACTTTTTGAGCGGGAACAAAAGTCGGAGGAGATTTTAGTTGTATACACGCCATCATGTCTCTAGGATGCATGGGCGCAAAGCTGCCCGATATGAGTACGGCAGAAACAAAATAAAAATACCCAAAGAAAAATCTTTTAAGTGCTTTCAAGTTTCCACCAGAGGCTTCAATCTCTGTGAATGTGTTGTATTTCTTTTGTGTGGATTACCTCTTAGTCAGTGGCAGAAACTTCGTGAGTTGAAGAAATGTATACGAGATCTAGATTTCTAGATCTAGAGATCCAGATCTAGATCTAGATCTACCTCAATGTCCACTCAACCAACTCTTGTTTTATTTTCTTTCTTTGCTCTCACTTCATTATTTTTGTACACTATTTTCAATTTTCCTTCTGAGGCTGTCCTTGTTTTTGTTGTGGTTTGTTTTTGTGATTTTATGTTGTTGGTTTTTTTACAACCACCCCCTTCTTTCCTACAAGGAGCGCTCTCGGAATCCAAGACACGCATCTCAGAAAAACCTCTCATATGATTTCATACTCTTCTATTCCACTTATAATTTTGTACTAGTAATTTAGCTCATTCATTTTCCTTTCAAAAAATACTATTTTCATCATTTTTGGTTGTGTTTGTGATTTTATACAATTTTTTTAGTAAGGTACCCATTCAATTTTCATGGAGTTATTGCCCTTGTCTTAAGGATGGGGGGCCACAGCTGGCCAAGCCTGCTAAGTGCGAAAGGGTTAAAATCAATTTTTTTTAAAATAACCCGGATTCAACGAGCACTTAAATCAGCGAGCTCGGATTCAACAAGGTCGCTTCCAGAGTGAACAGCCTACGCAGACGTGGCTTCGCTCATTTTTCTTCCAGAACGAACTTTATCCATTCCCGGAAACAATCCATTGCACCAGCACGTGAATCATTATTCACTTAGCCGATTGCATGCAACCGATCAGCGGCCTTTTGTCATACCAACACATGCGTTTTTGGCTCGCGCACGTGTCTACTCTGGCATGTGTCGGGGTCGGATGGGCGGCCTGCACACGTGTGACTGTGTGTGTGTGTCGGGGTCCGGGCGTTGAACATCACAGTCACAGATACAAACGCGTCACAGTCTTTTTTCGCCCCTCGGCAACTGATCATTATTACAATGATAAGCTAAATCTAGACCTGACGTGGATCAACGTAATGAATTGTGCCCTGGTCTATGAAATCAAAAGTTGCCGTTAAGCTAGGCTCTACACAGCAACAAAACTTTTTGGTAAACAATCGAGATGACAAAGGCGTGTGCATTTGAACGAATCGCGTCTTTTTTTTTTTACACAGCTCAAAATATGCTGGCATTTCAGGCACTACCTGTGACTTCTCTTTATACATTACTTGCTCAGTGCCTGTAATTATCTACACAAAAACCTTGTGTTTGCTATAACGAACACTCAGATTCAACGAGATTTTTGGTCAGGCCCGGCAACCTCGTTGAATCCGAGTTCCACTGTACATGGTATTTAAAAGGGAATGTTTAAGATCTTTTTTTAAATTACCAGGTAATCTCCACAAATTTTCAAATGAGTAAATCAAAACTTGGGAAAATTTACAACATTAACAAAAAACCAAAAAAAACCCAAACAAAAACAGAAGGAAAAAAAGAAAGGAAAAAACAGAACAAAACCTACAGAACATGAAACAATAAAGGAAATTGAAATAAGGGCTGATAAATTAAAGTGCCAGTCACATCTAGACTCACATTGTTGACGTCAGCGGTAGTGACAGCATCCACCATCTTGTAGACCTCCTGTGGGGTCAAGACCTGATCAGAGTTGAGCGTCTGCTCTCCCAACCAGCTCAACAGCACGTCGGGGTTCTCAAACTGCATGCAGATGCTGGCCTTCAGCTGGGTCCTGACAAGCACATACACATACACACACCAATATGAAGTCTATGACATAAAATACATGTTTGTTTTTATGACGGCACAAAAACCTTGCAAACAGAAAAACCAGACAAATGGTTTTATATCATTTACAGTGCATCACTTCTTCTTGTAGTATACACTGATATACTTGCTGATTTTAGGGAGAAAATGGCGACCAAAGTTTGGTTTCTCTAATAGCTAAAGAGTCCTTGAAAACTGAAAAATGACATATTTTGAGCATTTAATCAACATTTTTCAGTAATATTCACATGGAACAATTCTTTTGTATGGACATAAAAGGATTTGAGCCAAAAAACAAAAATTCGATAAAAATTGTCTAACTGGCGGTAAAATGCCTGTTTCTCCGATTTCGTTATTTTGACGAGCATCTGATTTCACAAAGCCTCACAAATGTGACTTGTAATGGATGGATTCAACTAAAGGATTCCAATGATGAGTTCAAAGTTAAAGAAGAAAACAGAACGAGTTAAAAATCCACTTCTCTTACAAATATGGAATCCCAAAATAGTGCCCCAAAATATCAGAAGCCATAAAGCCTAAAGTTCAACGACCATTCACCAAAAAAAACAGGCAAATGCAAACTGTAGTTACATGTTCACATAAATACTTTTACTCATTATTGCCCAAAACAACTGGATGTACACATTAGCAAGCATTACCACTTGTCATTGAATTCTCTTGACAGAGACTATGCCTACATGCAGGTCATGTAGAACACATTTTGCTTATTTCAAAAGAGTTGCCTACAAAAAAAAATTGTATTTTGCAACCAGCTTATCAAAGACACCATAGGAGATTTAATTCCTAAGAAGATGCTTAGTATGCAGCAATGAAAGAGCCAAAGCTCTATAATACTTGGGCAGAGGTGGAGTGTTCATTCATTCACCAGCAGTGAACTACTTTGGTCAAAATACAGGTATATAAATGTGTCGCATGTAAGAAAAGTGATACATTTATTTGATCATAGCATACTTACTTAGCCCGCTCTACATCCTTATCTGAAATTCCAGAGGTGAGCACAGACCTCAATTGGTCAGCACCTGCTCTGGCCACCTGTTCATAAAAACAAGATCCTCATTATGAGCTGCAGAGGCACATAGATATCATCTTGGGCTAAACAGTTAAAAGAAAGCAAAATAACAGATTCAACCATTAAACAAGAGAAAAACAGTTCATATCAGTGACACCTTGCAATCAGAACGTACCAGAGAAAGAGAGGGAGAAGGAGAGAACAGGGGAGAGAAGGGAGGGGGAGACGGGGGCGGGAGAGGAAATGTTTACAGTTGGCATACAGCGAGGTAAATATTCATCTATTGGAGGATAAAGCCTGCCAGTCATGCTGCCCCCACCCCCCCTTCCCTTTCTCTATTTTGCCTCTAACTGATCTATTATTTAGCAATGCCAATTGAGCTTTCCCTAGCGGCGAAAATTTGGTCCCCGTTTGCGGGTGAATTTTTGGACCGGGTCGTAGCGTAGGTAACTAACTTTCTCAACCTCGGTCTGCTTTATTTCTTGACCAATGTGAATGAAACTCGACAACCAATCAGAAAATAAGGCAAACTAATGATATGTGAACGTTGAAGTTCGTACACATAAATTAACCTATACTTTTGGTGTCGGAAACACTTTTGTATCGGGTGTACCGTATACTATAAGGAGCTTGAATTTCAACGTCGAGATGGTAATAGATCTATCTGTCCTCTATAGTGTCCTCAAATTTGAACGTTTTGTGTCAAGTAGTTGTTTAGACCCGATTATAAATGCACAACTACCCCCCTGTCCAAAGCGGCTTCGCACGGAGACCGACCAATTTTCCCTCACAACCTCGGCAAATGTATGCGACCTCCAAATCCCCGCATGACTATTCCGAGCCCATTCATTGGTCACTCAAAATAGGGCAATGGCGGGCACTAGAGTTGGGGCGAGCGGATGGTGGGTTCGTTACTCGCGGTCTCAGTCAGAAAGAGCGGGTAACGGACGGCCATGAGAGCGAACTGCGAACCTCAAGACAGTACGTTTTTTTGGGTCCGCTCCACAATTTGACTCTCTCGGCGAGCGGACTGCGGACCTCAAGCTTCAATTCAGTTAGTTTTTTGGATCCGCTCCACAATTTTATTCACTGGGCGGACGGGCAAACGGAAGAACTCTAGCAGACGAGATACTCGACGCGAGATTAGACCCGTCGTCTATTGTTTGTTAATTAGGCCTAATGTTTCAAACCACTAGCCTAGCGGTGCCACAAGGAGTGAGAGAGGCTGGTGACGTAGTACTATGTGTGTAACCTTTCACCTCGTGCGTGGGGCACACTGTGTAGGTTCCAATTATCGCAAAGGCGGGGGGAGAAATTTCCGCCATGAACGCCTAGCTACAATGTGAGGCAGGAGGGTGATTTTTTTATAAATTAATTTGGGGGGGGGGGGGGGTTGTAAGTTGTAGGCAATGAAAGGAGTCTCTGACCGTCTGAAAGGAGTCTCTGACCGTCTGGAAGAAGTCGCTCCCGTCTGTCCGTCCGCCCGCTCGAATGCATGGAGTCTCTTGGTCCACCCGCCCGCTCGCTCGCTAAACGAACTGCTGTCTCTGCCTGATGTGTAGCGAGTAGCGAACTACTCTTCACAAGCGGACAGTTCGTTACCCGTCCGCTCGTTTGCGGGTAGTGTCAGCGAGTAGTTCGTTACTCGCGGACGATAATTTTGCAAGCCCGACCCAACCCTAGCAGGCACGCGCATCCGGTTGTTTTTCTCTCTGTTCCCCTGTAACATCGCAATGGGGATATTCCGAGGCGAGGTGTTCGAGTCTCAATGGTAAAAAAGAATTTTTAATTGTACGGCCTAGTATATTGAATAAACTTTAATTTTAAAGTTGGCATGGTCTAAAGTCATCAAAGAAGGCTTTGTCATTATTTAGTCACGCTGCCAACATATTCTTAAAGATCCCATGTTGTAATACGATGCTATAAATAAAATGCTCTCATCCGGACACCCCTCTTTCGCAAAATCGTAATATGTACACTAAAATTTTAATTAGAACAAAATTACGAAATGGTTAGTAAATCTGACTGTAGAAATGATTTCTCCACCCAAAAACACATCGGGTGGCCAAGTTTCTTTCTAGCATTCAAATTAATTACTGAGACATCGTCGATTTTCTTACAGAATCTGCTATTGCGAGGTACACTTTAAGGAGTATTTTCCTATATGTGGGTCATCCATATTTTGCCGACCTTAACAACCCCATAACTATTTATATATGAACCTATTCTAAAAATTCAAGAAGCATAATTCTTAGAATTGAAAATTCTTTCTTAGGTACCAAATAATAAAGGGCTAAAGCGAAAAATTAAATTTTCATTGGCATTGCTATATTACAGTAGTCTCCGCCTAAGATCCCTGTGCTCGGGAGCAAGGAAATGCGGGATCTTAACCGACGAACCCAATGAAGAATCTATGGTGACCCATGTTAAGGCTCACAATCGGTAAAATGTTCTCCCTCCACTCTACAATGAACTGACGTGACCCCTTGGTGGGTTTATGGCATATGGCGAGCAAAGAGTGGTTAACCTTGATGACCTATCACGGTGCATAGTGGGATGAGGCGTGCCATTTTGACTTATTATCCTATCATGAGTCTCAAGATCTACGCTTATCCAGTTGCCCCTCCCCTTTACCTGTCGAAAATTTATAGCTTTCCATCTCTGACCAAGTCCCCCCCCCCCCCCACCCCTCCACCCCCACACACACAAACCACCTTTGTCGTTACGCACCATTACGTTGTGAACACACCAATTAAAATTCAGTCCGTCTTGCAAATTCGGGAGTAGAGACAACTGCTGCAATGGCCAAGGAAGAGTTCACGGTTCGATGTGATCCCGCCTGGAGCGAACGTGTAGGCCCTACCCACCCAGCGAGTGATGCAAGTTTAGGGGGAGAGCTCAGGTGTGAGTGCGATGTTCGGGGAAAACAAAGACGTCGGTCAGTTCACATCCCGGTGTGATCCTGTCGGGGGCAAACATTGTATCGCTTCATCGAGTTTTACAACGTGTATGTGATCATATTCACGAGAGTGGCTGATCTCTGACGCGACGAACAGTTTATTGATCTCAACTTTTCACTCTTGGTTGATCAGCTGTGCCCGCCTCCGTTTTTGTTTCGCAAATTATGATCTGAAATGCGGGATCTTAGCCGAATGTCGACCATCAGAGCGGGATCTTAGGGGAGACTTTTGTATAGTAAAAATTCTGTTTTCCTAAAACAGCGGGATCTTAAGCGAACCGGGATCGTAAGCGGTGGGATCTTAGGCGGAGACTACTGTATTACCTTGTCAATCTGAGAGCTCTGGGCAACAGCTGTGAACCCAAACAGGCCAGCGTCTGAATAGTTAGCAGTGAAGGCCGACACCTGTGAGAAGAAAGAAGACACTTTTTGCTTATTTTACCCTCTGAGATATCATACATAACACAGTCACTCTGTGAAGTGCCAGTACAGAGTTGAGTGCTGAGCATTATCACACTCTAAATTTTCTGTCTTTTCTAATTAATATTTGTGATGTTAAGTTTCCTAAAAGGTAATTATCTATTCATGGAATTCTGCCAGTAACTCTTTGAAATAAAAGAAATTTATACATTTTTTAACCCCTTAAGACAAATGGTATAGTTCTTTTTTTAAACAGCTTTGTTCGTAACAAGTTAAGAAATAATGCATACAACATGCTGCTTTATCCCATACAGCACATCTCAAAAATAATATCACAATTTTTCTGACCAAAATCTCAAGACCTACCAAATATGAAAAAGACCCAAGTTCCATAACACAACAAAGGCTCACTCTTGATTTGGGGAAAGTCAGAATTTTTGCATAAACCTCAATTTGAGGAAAGTAAAAAATTTTAGCACAACCAAACTGAGACAACAGCAACAGTAACAACTCTCCCCAGCACAGAACTCACAAAGTGAGGGACATCGACAGCCTTAGACACAGCCTTGCTCAGCTCCGAGGTGGCTGAGCCGCTGCTGTACTTGACATGAGGTCCCACACCCAGCACATATTTCAGCACTTCTGAGGGCAACAGGTCCTTGCTGCCCACACTTGGAAGAAAAAAAAAAACAGGGAGAATGTCAGAGACGAGAATAAGTAGAATCATTTCAAAATCCTTACATCGGAAGAAAGAATCAATTGTCGACTTAAGTTTCAAGGTTATTACCATGATGATGGCCACATTTTACCCTGAAATAAAACGACAAAAAACGACTTTGTTAAAGCCCTTGGGAGCCCTTAAGGGCAATATCCAGAATTTGGCCTTTTATTTACTGTATAAAAACATTTTCTGTTCAGCCACTTTGTGAATTCTGCTCTTCAATTGTCTCACACTATTTGGAAATATCCATGGAGTAGACTAAAATGTTTCGTACAGGGTAAATGAAAATCTAATTCTTCAACACGGAATCTGAAAAAATCTCTTTTATCTTCAAAGCGCTGTGATCACTCTTTGACTTACAAAATAAACAAAATGGCAAATCATTTGAAGATTGAACAATGCAAAAACAAAACAATTCAAACAACTCAGACAAATATCAAAACAAGTTAATCTCCAATAACATACAGAAAACAAACCAAAATTAATTTAACCCTCTTAGCGCAAATCACGAACTGGTCGTGCTGACTCATATCTCCCTTCAGTGCACATCGCGACCACCGGTCATGATCTGACATGAGCGTAGAAACTATACCGCTGACGTGAGAATAGCGATTTTTTAAAATGCTGGTGACTACAGTCATACAGTCCACCGGTGCAACATTTTTTACTGACATTGGCCGCGCATTTGGCAGTCAGTGATCAGTTAGGAGTTTTTTATTGGCAATTTTCTGGGATATTGTTTACAGTTTTCAAAATGTCGGATCGTCAGCTGATTTAGACTCAGATTTGCCCAACATTTTTCTGGAACCGGACGACACTGATAAAGAGTTTGAAGGATTAGGTAGGTCCTCAAATAAAAGATTTACGTGTGAATGATAGGGATACATCATAGATCTAGCGAAGTTCAGTCCAGAAGGAGACATCGATATTCCTGCTGATCTCCAAGCAGGCTGGACTAAAATTAGGAGGATTTTGATACCAACAACAACATCATAAAAAACCACATCTGACCCGACATAATGGTAGTTCATTATTTAAGACACATTTTTCCTTCTTACTGTAATTAGAAATTAAGATGAATAAGAAAGACATGAGCTTTGTTTTATAACCATGTTGAAAATAAACATTTTTTTCTAAAATAAACCCAGCACTGAAGGGAAATAGTACAAAAAATGGCTTAGTGCAAAGAGGGTTAAATGTTCCATTACATAGTAGAAATAGATTGCAAAATAACACAATATACTTGAGATCAATGGGTTCATCTCCTGTCTCTGGTGAACTTTTCTTTCTGGGCTGTTTAAAGAACATCCTACAAAAATTAAAAAGCAGAACAAGGTCCAACACAATATTCCCTTTACTGAGAAAAAAGTTAGCACCACTAACACTTTGATGCAATTTCTTTCTTGGCGAAGCAATTCAATATAATGTACATACACATATACATACAAGCTTTTGTAAACAAAAATTGACATAAGTACTTCTAAAGAACACAGCGGTAAGACACAATATTTGTATGAGTATGATAAACATCATAAAACTTCACGTTTTCAGAAAATACAAACATACCCTTCGAAACAGTGAAACACATCACCAAAGCTAACAGTTCAGCTTCATGGTGTATCACCTTCAATTTAACTTAGATTCTACAATAATTACTTCCTTTTCTTCTCAATCTACAGGTTCACTGCCCAAAGACAAATCTTACTTACTTTGGTCCACCCAGAGCGAAAGCTACATAAGACAGTTCTCCCCCAGTGTTCTCTCGGACTTCACCTGCAGGTCAGAAGGGAGATCATCAAAACACAGAAGTATACAGAACAGGAATCTTGTATAGGACCATAATAAAAAACCAGTTTGTACAATGACATAACAGAGCTTGGGTGAGATACTGAAAGTGAGCATGTCTTACTATGGTACTCTCATCCAAGTTTTCTACAGATCCAGTTAAATCCCAAAGAACAAGTAAACCAGCAAATATACTCAGAAATGAAGAAAGACCAGTTGTCTGAAGATTGTTTGTTTTTGTAAAGTGTTTTACGGCGCTCCCAACTGCATAAGGTCATAAGAGCGGGCGGGACACACCTAATATTTTCAGTTGGTAGGAAATTTTGATTTTTGCCCAGGTGGCGGCCGAAGCCTACTCTTATCGATTTTAGACCACCAAGGGATCTTTAATGTGCACAACTTGCACACAGGCCCTCCGAGATTTTTCGCCCTTGTCCGAGAAGGCTAGGTGTAGATCTTTCCTACCAGAAGATCAGGGGTATTGCAGAAAGACAGCAGTTAGGAGGAGCCAAGGAGTAGCAGTAGAAAGGCTGCAGAAAGAGTCAGGAGCCCAGAGGAGGGGGCAAAGGAGGTGAGGGGGTGGGGGCAGAAAGTGGAAATGAAAGCAGACAACAGAACATTGCTAGAGAACAGGAAAGGAGGTGAAAGGAGACAATTTAAGAGAAGAACATTTTTCGGTCGCTACCCGGATTCGAACCCGGGACCTTTGAATGAGAGGTCAACACCTTAACTTCTAGACCACGAGAGCCCCCTCTGAAGACTGAGTTTCCAGGAATTCTATTGGAAATAATAAACTAAGGAACAAATTTATTATATTAGCCAACCACTAACGGATAATACTGAACAACAACAAAAATTGTTTAAACCTCCCTGTTATCATCTTAGTATCTTGGAGAAGTTAACAATATTTTAAGCTGAAAAATCAAATCTAGTTATCAAACATAAACAGAGTCAGTTTTGTAAAAACATACAGGACAAAGAAAAAAACAAGCAAAAGCTTACCGCCATAGTAGACGGCTGGTTGAGCAGGGGCACCGGTGGAGGCATATGGTTCGAACTGTTCTCCCAGAGCCTCAAGTTCACTGCTGTCAATGCCAACTCCCACAAGAGCAAGACGACCGACTCCAAAGTTAGACTTGGCATAGTGCAACAGCTGCAATGACCACATAAGTAAAGAAGAAGCAGTTTGTGATATTGTTACTTTCATGACATTGTTCACAACATAAATTATAAGCGTTCGACAAAAACATAAGTCTCTTCAATTCAAGATACAGCATCCATTTAAAAAAATTTTTTTAATCACATGACTCCTCAAATTTCTCTAAAGTTCAAAATGCATATTGAAGTGACCCTTCTTTATGCTAAAGCAGAAGTCCATTATGGCTTTTACAAAAACCAAACTATTAAATATTTTGAAAATAAAATTCACAGAGCATAAAGTAGATAGAAGAAAAATAATTTGCAAAGGACAAAATGACTCAGGGTGTACAACAAGAGGGCTATTAAACACATACACAATAAATTTTAAAATACAACTGAATAAAAATACAAAACAGTATCTTTCTATGTCACATTGAAATCAGACTAAAGAACAAAGCGACAGACAATAAATCTTGGAAGATTTTCAACCTAAAATTATAAAAACAATACAGCAATCTCCGCCTAAGATCCAGGAGCTCGGGACCAAGGAGAAGGTGGGATCTTAGGTGAAGGGTATCTTTGTCGACGCACCAAGAGAAGAATCTACGGTGACCCATGTAAAGGCCCTTAACAGGTAAAATGGTCTCCCTTCACTCAAAATGAACTGATGTGACGCCTGGGTGGGTATATGACATACAGCGAGCAAAGAGTGGTCAAGCTTGATGATCAATCACAGTGGCATGAGGCATGCCATTTTCACTTATTATCCTATCGTGAGTCTCAAGGGCTGCGCTTACCCAGTTGCCCCTCCCCTTTAATTGTCCAAAATTTATAGCTTTCCATCTCTCACAGAGTTCCCCTGCCTTTGTCGTTACGCATCATTATGTTGTGACCCCACCAATTAAAATTCAGTCTGTGTCGCAAATTCGGGAGTAGAGACAACTATTGCCATGGTCAGGGAAGAGTTCAAAGTTCAACGTGATCCTGCCTAAAGCGAACTTGTAGAGCCTACACACCCAATGTGTGATGTAAGTTTAGGTGGAGAGCTCAGATGCAAGTGTGATTTTTGGGGGAAACAAACGTGTCGGTCAGTTCACACCTCAGTCTGGGGAAAACATTGTACCATTTCATCAAGTTTTACCATGCTTATGTGATCACATTCACGACAGTGGCTGATCTTTGATGTGACAGGCAGTTCAATGATCTCAGCTTTTCACCCTTGGTTGATCGACTGTGCCCGCCCAGGTTTTTGTTCTGTAAATTCTGATCTGAAATGCGGTATCTTAGCCGAATGTAGACTTTCACAGTGTATCAGAGCAGGATCTTAGGGGTGACTTTTGTATTGCAAAAATTCTGTTTTCTTAAGACAGTGGGATCTTAAGCGAACCGGGATCGTAAGCAATGGGATCTTAGGGGGAGACTACTGTATATACAAAAAACAAAGAAACCAAATTCCCACTATATATACCTGCTCAGAATTGAACTTGCCGATGGAGAAGTCCGGGGCATAAAGTGACCTTCCCAGGGTGTCCCTGAAGGCAGCAGAGTGAAGCAGCTCTACCACTCCTGGGAACATATGTCACGACGAAAAGTTAGCAGGCACACAAGGGGGGAGAAAAACCAAGATTACAACAGCAACAACAACAAAATCCTCGAAAAAAAGATATGATGTCCTGATTAAATGAAGTCATCCTCAGATTAAAAATACACATCCAAGATTTTTTAAACTACAATCAGATGGTCTGTTTTGAATATTCCAATGAAAGGAATAATTTCTCACACTGACATTAGAAACAAATTAATATCTAAACAAGGTCAATTTTTATATTAAAACATTTTCCATGCTTACAAATATTTTCTTAAGATTTTTCATACATATTATACAAGCACAAACTATAAACAAAATCTGTCTTCTCACTGTCAGCAAAACCTTTACTAGGTCCAAGACAAGTAACAAGTACAAACAACTCTAATGGACAAACAGAAGAAAATTATGAAAACAGAATACATTCTACAATGTCAGAACCAGTAATTATAACAACAAAGGGCTTAAAAAAACAAGTGTATATTACCACCGGTACAAAACCAGTACAGAGTGTGGATTCAATGAGTAGCTGGTCATTCAGAGTGACTGTTAAATAAAGACTACATTGCATACTCTCAACTAGAAAAATATGTACTTCTGACAGATTTCTGTTCAAGAGTCCAGGGTAAAATGCAGTCTTGAAAATATACGACAACACACAGGAGACGACAACAGAGGAAGAGAGTGAAAGAAATAAAAGGAGGAAAACTTTCCATAGCCCCTAAAACAGCAAATCCTCTACATCCCAGGAGAGTAATCGTTCCAACGGAACACACATCCCAATACAAAGTGCTGTCTATTTTTGCTTGGAGAAAGTAATTATACCCAAATTGGTGCATATATAAACACTCCTTAAAAACAGACATAAGCAGACAAAACTTTCTTAGCAGGAGGTAAACAGTACACAAAGACACATTCAGGGTTCCCACCAAATCCTGGAAAAATTTTTCAAGACCCCCAAATTTTTTTCAAGACCCCAATTCGAGGGAAAAATCAGACCGCTGCGCGTCAAGAATGATCCCCCAAAAAGCCCATCTATCAATGATAAAAAGTCAAAATGTCTATAAATGAATGCAAATGTACATTTTGCAGTATAGTCTTCAAACAATAGATGACTATAATACTGAGTGACTGCCAACCCAGCTTCTCAATTTTCCAAGGGAGAGGCCTCATCCATTTTCCAGGAACACGTTACATAACAATGAAAGCGTGTGCTCCATTTATATCCAATATAATACATGTACAATGTATATGTTTGTGAATACACACACACACACACACACACACACACACACACACACACACACACACACACACACACACACACATGTAGGTACATTATATCCAGTCAACAACATGTCAGTGTGGCACTGGGATCTTGAGAGACTTTGGTATTTCAGTCTGTTCTTACTTATTTATATTTTCCCCTCATCATATTAGCCAACATAACAAACTATAGGCCCTATATAAAAAATGAATCCTGTTTTGAGCCTGAGAAAAGACCTAGAACTAGAATATCGACTGTCAATAACCAGTCTGGATGTCATGATTCATATAATAAACATGAAGACAAAAACCATTGCTGCAACTCAAAGAAGAGTAATATTAGTAATAACTAGAATGGCTCAAGTACACCTATTCAGTGTGAGAGGTGCAAGAACTGGGGGGGGGGGGGGGGGGGGGGGGGGGGCACAAGATGCAGTGACACTGAAAATCTGCCAATCTTGAACAGAAAGCTAAAATATAGATATAAATTACAATCACCCCATCCAATGAAACGCGAACACTTTAGTTGAATAACAAAGCATGACGGATCCCGATTCCACACAAGGCCTGCACCAACGCGCGCTTTGCAGAGAGCTCTAAAGTAGTTATCAAAATGCTAAAAATGTGCTTCCAAGTTCAGTTTTTGTCCTCTAACGTTGCCTTCAGCCCCCCCATCCCCTTCCACGTGTGTATCTTATAAAGGAGTCCTATACTTCACAGCGCTCAGACCGCCGGTACTCACAGGTTCATTGACCGGTCACGAGGGCGAACCTGTCAAGACGGTTGTTTAAGTTCTTTTTTTTTTTTCTTTTCCACAGCGGTTCAATTACGTTTCCTCTTCAGGATTCATCAACCATACAGTCTAGATAGCTACACATTACACAGGCCCTATATCCTTTCCCGACCTCCCGACCCATCTCAAAATTCCCAACTTTTTCCCGATTTCCCAACCCTGTGGGGACCCTGCACATTTCAAAGAATTGAAAAGAGACTCACGGACTTGAGGTTGTGTCTTCAACAAAGCAAGGTCCAGCTTGAGGCCATCAGGGTCAGCCTGCAGATCATCCACCTCCCATGGCTTGAAGGAGTGCTTAGTGCTGATCTCACGAAGAATCTCAACAACCTTACCACTAACAGAAGAAAAGACAACAGAACAACAATACAATTCCTGCAGGATGTCCAGCAATATTTGCTGAAAAAATTTACTACCTGGAAAAAAAATTTACTTCCCAGCAAATCAAGCCCCACACCAGCTCGAAAAAGGGAGTTCATTTGCGCCATCACTATCATATATCATTACATAATATATGGAACGAAAATAACGCGCAACAACATCCAGTCAACAAAATGGAGGACAGACAGACGATCGCAAGCTTGCTCGCCGCTAGATTTAGTTTTTGTCTTAGTAATGTTTTTACAGCGCTAGCAACTGAATAAGGTCATATGACAAGGGGTGGATGTCAACAGAAAAATCCAAACGGGCAATCAAGCTTATTCTGCTCACCTCTCTAACCTCAACAGCACAAATTCTGCTTCGACTATCAAGGCACCCCGGAAATAGTGGGTCACAAGAGTGACAAACATACAAAAGAAGTAGAGGAAAATGACAATAGTAAGGATGAGGAAAGAAAAAGCAGCAGTTCCCCCTATGTTGTTCCCCCACAGTATGAGCATGACATAGAAAAATCAGCCCATACTTACAATTCTACTGAGCATAACAGCATGTTAATATCCCCCCCCCCCCCTTTGGAATGGCATAAATACGCTTCAGTCAGTAGCACTGGTTTGGGGGGGGGGGGTTAGATTTAGACCTAATGTGTGCACACAGGGTGACTGCCAAACTGGCTTCTCAATTTTCCAGGGGCATGTTACATAACAACACACACACATACGTAAAATACACCCAGTCAACAACATGTCAGTGTCGCACTGGGGTCTTGTTTGACTTCGCCTAAGTATTTCAGAGTGTTATACATTTTTCTCTCATTATTATATATTAAAAAATGAATCCTGCTTTGAGCGTTCAGAAGGGCCTTGAACAAGAATTCCGACTGTCAAGAACAATCTGGGTGTCATGACTCATAATATTATGACCATGAAAAGCAAAAATTATTGCTCAAACTCAAAAACTTGAATGGCTCTAGTAGACCCATGCAGTGAGACAGTTGCAAGAACTGTGGGAGGGCACGATGCAGTGACACTGAAAATCTACCAGCCTTGAACAGAAAGCTACAATATTGTTATAATTTACTATCACCCATCCAAAGTTTTTGTCCTCTTGTGTTGCCTTCAGCCCCCCCCCTATCCCCGAGTGCATCTTTAAAAAAAAAATAATAATCCCCTATCCCATTCCATAGTCCTTGGCCTATACTTCGCAACGCTCAGACTTTGAATGAACTTTGGCGACCCAAACAACAAACGGGTGCTCACTCGCGCAGGTTCACTGACCGGTCACGATTGGCGAGCCCGACATCTAAAAATCAGACGACGCTTGTACTTTCTTTTCTCCCCACCCCCACAACTGACAGCACAGAGACGAGTCCGAGTACTGATTACATTTTATTCGCGCGGCGGCACAGCGTTCAGATAATAATATAATATCTATACTGCACAACCTGCATGTCACAAATGTTGCATTAGTTATCAGTCCATCACCGGCAAATTTCTGAAAGCGAAAGTAAATTTGATTTTCCTGGTCGAGCCTCGGTGTCACACACACTTTCGCCTGCCGCCTTTTCGCGTGAAACGTACTCTCGGACGGGGAAAAGGTGAACGAATAATATTATATCACAATCGCGACCGGCAAAAACGGAGTCATGTACCGCGGCTAGGGTTCAATGAAGTCTTGCTGGCTTCATCACTCCGTACGCAGGTTGAATTTACGACTATTTACCAAATGTTTACTACCTTCACGGTGCATTTACTACCATTTACGGCCTTTCCGACTTTACCACTTTGCAGACACCCTGTCCTGAATGTCAGAAATCTAAATGCATTTGCTGGGAAAAAATTAACATCAGCATGTAAAAGCATTGGAAAGTAGATAAGACAGAAAAATCAAGAAAAAAATTTGCCATAGAATGGAGGTATTGAATCTAGTCACCTTCAGGCAGCTATTGACATTGCAGTTTGCATTAACAGGTTTTCTATTCTAAGCATTATGCTTTTTCAATTTGAAGAATCGGTTCATAAATTTTTTAAGTTATGGGGTTGTAAAGTGCAGCAAAACATGGATGACCCACGTATAGGAAAATACTCTCAAAAAGTGAACCACGTAACAGCAAATTCTGTAAGAAAATTGACGACATCTCCAAAATTAATTGGAGTGTTTGAAAGAAACTTGGCTACCCAATGTGTTTTTGGGTGGCGAAATCCGTTCTGCAGTCATTTACCAACAATTTTGTAGTAATTTTGTTATAATTAAAATTTCCATGTACATATTACGATTTTGAGAAATAGAGGTGTTGCAATGAGAGAATTTTATTTATAGCATCCTGTCACATCATGGGATCTTTAAGAATATGTTGGCAGCGTGACTAAAAAATGGCAAAATTTTCTTTGATAACTTTAGACCATGCCAACCTTAAAATATAATTCAATTCAATCTAACATGCTGTACAATAAAAAAGCTTTCTTTTTTACGTTGAGACATGAGCACCCCCATTACGATGTTACAGTGGATCAGAGAGATAAACAACCGGATGCGCGCGCCCGTCATTGCCCTATTTCAAGTAACCAATGAAAGGGCTTGGAATAATCAGGCGGGGACTTGTCAGTCACATATATTTGCAGAGGGAGTGCAGGAAAAATGGCCGGTCTCCATGCAAAGCCACTTTGGACTGGGGAGTAATGGTACATTTATGATAAATTCCAAACAACTTCTTTAGTTTTAGTTTTAGTAAAGAGTTTTACGGCACTTGCAACACAATAAGGTCATATAAGTGCCGAAGATTAGAGGTGTTACAAGAGAGGAACAAACACAAAATAGAAGGAGGAGAGATCAGGACGATAGACGTTTGATAGGAAAGAAGAAGCAAACCACACCAGAGCACCCGCCAACCACCCACAAACAACTTCTTTACATAGAACTTGCAAATTTTAGGACACCATAGAAGAAAGAAAGATCTCTTACCTTCTTGGCATTAAAAAAATCAAACTTCTTATAGTATACAGAATACCCGATACGAAAGTGTTTCTGACACCAAAAATATAGGTTAATTTATGAAAACTAACTTCAACATCCACTTATCATGTTTGCCCTATTTTCTGATTGGTTGCCAAGTTTCATTCATATTGGTCCAGAAATAGAGTCGACCGAGTCTGAAAAAGTAAGTCACCTACGTTTCGATCCGGCCCAAAAATACACTCGCAAACAAGGACCAAAATTTTGTTGCATACACGAGCTCCATTGGCACTGCCGTCTTATCACAGTATCTAAAATCAATCTCCACCAAGCCAGACTCCTGAAGCCAACAAAAACATTATGACATAAAGACAACTTACGCACAGTTCCTTGTCACGTTGCTCTTGTAGTAGATATATTCGCGGGTGCCTTCAGCGCTAGAAAAACAAAGCAAAACAAAACATTCTATAGGCACAAAACATAAACCATAAAACTCAGCATTTACACAAGGGTAGAACGCATTTCTACAAAGATCCCAGTGGTCAGGAATAAGGACCAAAAAAACAACAGAATTTTGGTGAACATGACTTCGGTCCCATTGGAGAAAAGAACAACCCATGAACTAAGTCAGAATAATCCCTTACTTAAATAAAGACAAAGTGTTGGTCCAAAGAGAAAAGTCATAAATCTGTTTGAAAAGTTACACTTCTTTTAAACCCCATTCCCTCCCAATCTGTTGAAGCAAGATGATGTGTGAACAAAACAAGACTAATCAGATGCCGTAAAAGTAGAGATCATTAGATCAAGTCCGATTCTGACCATCACATAGCAAAGTGTTGACCAGCTGACAGGGTAACTGTGCTCCCCCACCCCTTGAAGTGATGCTCTCACTAAGCAGTATTACAACTAAAGACTCAACATGTGAGTGAGATCAACTCCTACACCCCTACCCCTCCAATATAACTACCGTCACAACCACTGGGTTCTACACAGCCAATGGCAATAGAGTGACAGCTAGGAGAGACCATTTTAGTAAACTCGCATGCTGGTTTGACTTGTTTGACGACGTATAGAGAAAAGCAGGATTATAGAATGATAGATGATCTTGACTTGTAAGATTAAGATCTTACGGAGAGTTCCATTTAGCAAAAATCCTATTTCCTAATAAACGCTTGATCGAAGATAAACCCAGGAGACAGCTGGGTTTTACTTGACTCAAATAAAACGATAGCAGTTCTAGCGTACGCAAAACTTGTAATCCTTTACATACGAAAGTTCACTTTTACTGCTTACTTGAAGAATGCTGCCATTAAAAGAGGCCATCACAACATCACATTTGGCATCAAATATGTGTCCGCCCCGTCATAATCAGTCATTAGACACAATGTGTTATTTGACGCTAGGAGGTTCGAAAGGCTAAAAAGTGACTTTTCATGAATTTTTTGTTTTTTTGATCTATTGAAAGTTTAATGTCTTCTGCTTCATTTAAGATCAAAATAAACAACTAAAGTCGACTATAACTATTTTATTTCTTATTTATTTTAAAGGTGTGTGTGTGGTTTGTTGGGAGCTTGGGAGAAAAGATGCAGGAATTTGGACCTCAAAATCTTTCGAACACTTGACCTGCTGGTGTGTAGCTGTGAGATTGTTTATAGAACCATTACCTCATGGCCACATTGCTTCAACGCCCCTATTTTTAGATTTAGACACCTTTTCAAGCATGAATGGTCTGAAATATAAACAATTTAGCGTCACTATGAACGGCTGAGGGCTCTGATTGGTTAAACGGGGTACGGTAACTCCTAGCCCACTTCAAGCTTGTTTACGCAAACAGCTGACTGTGTAGGCGTGCCCTGATAGCTCGGTTATGGGCTATTGATCTTTCAGTTTTACACTTCTGCTGACTTTACAAGTTCGTTTTTATTGTGTTTAAGTGGGGGTGGGGGGGGTTAACTCCCAGCAGTTTTGCCTATTTTGGCTTTTTCATTTATGTTTCAGGGGTCCTCCATACCCTCAAGCCTCATGCAATAATGTATCTACACCAGATAGGCATCTATTATCTATTTGCGGTGGCCGAATTTTGCTATTCAAAACGCTTTTTAATGGCTGCATCGATCGACATGCGGTTTTCGCCAAAAAATTCTTTAAAATGTTCTCCAGAGCATGGCGCCCTTGGTTTTTTCCGTTTTGAGACAGTTTTGCTGCAAAAAGCTAAATTTCTTTATTTCGCCGATAACTTTTGTAGGCCGACGCTTCTGTCTCTGTAATTTTAGAAAATCCAGAAGTGATATTTCGCGAGGCGCGTTTTGTTTTGAGAGTATAGATCTAGACCTTATAGTTTTTTGCATCTCTCAAGATTTATTGCCCCATTCCAGTAGAGTGTAAATATAGTAGGCCAATTACTTTTAGTTGATATTAAAGCACCGACCTAGACGGTCAGAGAACGGTTAGTATAAGAACGTATAGGCACCGCCAATCATTCCTTTTATCGAAAGGGGGCCCAGCTAGTATTATATATCAATGGAAAGGGAATTGGATGGTCTTTCAGACTTAACCAATAGATTTCATTTTTTGTCAAGCTGCCTTGAAGTGGGACCTGTTTTTCTTGTTACTAAAAAAAAGAAACAAAAACAGAAACACTTTTCCAACAGTCACAAAGAAGGGAAAATAGGTGTTTGAGAATTCAGAGTTTACAATTATTTCATGTAAAAGTGCATTCACTTCTGCATAGTATGTGTCAAAGATACACCATTCTGTTGGAAAATAAAGAAATGAGAGCTATTCTAGTACATAAATTCTTAGTTACTGCCCTTGATTCTAGAAATTTTCATATCATGACTTTTTGCTCTCAAGTCTCCTGCAATAATCTATCTGTACCAGATAGACATATCATATACCAACAGAAAGGGAATTAGATGGTCTTCAGACCTAACCAATAGATTTCATATTTGTCAAGCTCTCTTGAGGTGTGGCATATTTTTCGTGTTACTAAAAATAGATGCAGAAACAGAAATCGGACTGCCCCAACAATCACAAAGAAGAAAATTTTTTTAAAACAATTTTGAGTTTACATTAACTTCATGAGAAAACTACATCCAATTCTGCATGTAATGTGTAAAAGACAACTCATTCTGCTGAAAAATAAAGAAATGAGGGCCGTTCTTGTACATTCAACAAATTCTCAGTTATGGCCCTTGAAACAGGAAATTTCAGAGCGAACATTGTATAATAAAACCATCAATTTTTATACCTATTTTATATTTTTTAGTCTATTTAGTGTTTTTATTTCATAAAAATCCCTAATAAAATCTTTCTTTATAAAAGTAAATGTATTTTATGGGCAAAATACCACATCACCAGCCATCATATTTATATGATATAGTACTGCATGAACTGGTGAGAGTTAAAGATAGATGCTCCTCTAGATCTCCCAAGGTGGACTCCTTACCAAGAGGCAACCGAAACGATCTATGTGCATGTGTGCGTGTATGTTCGAGTACGTGTGTGTATGTGTGTGTGCACTTGTGTGCTTATAGTGCTATTGCAAACGTATATTTAGGAAGCGTAAGGACTCGCGGACTACCGAGCGCGTGGTTTCGGTGACATTGAGGTAATTCAGATCGCTTTTTCTTTGCTTCTTCGCTATAGCACACCAAATGCTGTACACCTTGAAAATGTTAAGCTTTATTTTTTTTTTTGTTACAATAGCATAATTTGTTTGTTTTTTCCTGTATGTGGAGCTAGAGAACCGCCATGGAAAGCAAAGCCCCTTGCGGTCAGAATGCGAGATCTGCCGGTTCCTAAATTGACATCCATGCATTCGAATGCTTTAAAGAAAGAGTGATGATTAAATACCGTCTTTTCATTGGCTTTAGAGTTTTGAACTGGGCTTCCCGTGGTATATTTTTGGCCTTTGATATTTAAATAGAAAGCCTTTAAAAAAGTGTACAAGTTTTCAAAGATAAATTCAAACATGAATGATGTAAAATACCGACTCAAAAAAGGAACTAATAGAAAGAGCAGTTCTTAATCTATTAGAATAAAGTCATCGGCTTAGAATTATTTTGCATATACTACAGAAGAGCCGTCTTGCTTGCCGCTGGCCAGGACAGCGCTCTGTGTTTTATCAAAATAACGACAGATCATCATGTTTGAGGCAATAAAATACTAATTTGTTATGATCCAACAGTCTTGAAAAAAAATTAGATTCCATTTCTACGTTATAGTGATTACTCTGTTAATGTGGAGATGTTTGAAGCACTTGGTACTCTTTTATTATTTGTCAAACATGGAGTTGCAGCCAGTTAGCGAATATAGCAATATTTGATTATATATTATATAAAAACAGCTGTCATTTTCTTAAAAATTGACTGAGAGGTAAAAGTATGGTACCAACATTCACAGGAGACATAGGCCTTTCAATGGAACAGATAAATTTGACAAACAGCTCCTTTGAAAATTTAGCTTGTGGTACCTAGTAGGGCCTACAATGCTAACCCGTTGTTACATTTGACGAGATCATTCTCGTTAAAATTTTGTTTTGTCCATAAGATTTTTTTCTGCGAATGAATAGTTTTCCACTTCTGTGTGTTACCTTGTAGTGGCCTAGCCAAGATAACTGCCAAATTTCAAGTCTCTATCTCAATTCTAAGACCCCCATTGCTATGGAAACATGTTGCTCAACGTTGGAGCCAGTTTTCTCCTTTTCGTGTTTCTGCACCTTGCATACTTAAAAGTTACATATTTTCGTCAAATATTGTCTTATTCACTTCATTTTTTTCTCCAAATTGAAGGGAAGTGGTGATAGATTTTGGAAATTATGTTAACTAAATTTTGAAATTTCCTTCATACGACTGATTTTGACGGGAGGGTCATATATATACATAACCCAAAACTGCAGAAACTCTAAAATTTCAAAGTGTAACTTGAGACTGGCATGCAGGAGTCATAATTAGGCACACAGTACCATTACATCAAGCTCTAATGTTGACCTAGTACAATTTATACAACATTTGAGTTACTTCTTACGTTATATCACTTCCAAGTTGCTGAGCTGCTCTTGTGATGCCCAAGCTTGACATGTTTTCAGTCCTCTGTAAAAAAAAATTTAAAAAGCATGAGTAAATTTCCATTATTTTTCTTCTCTTTCTATTGCAATTAAAATACAGTTTATAAGACACATATGTATTCAGAAAGAACTAAAGTGACCACAGCCTCTGCAGTCTAATGAAAAGATCAAGTTAGCATATTGTCCTGGCACAGGGCTAGATCTTTATGAACCTTCAACTGTCAAGTGACTTTAACCTTTAATATGTACAAGGTTCACAAGGCGGCTTAGGCCCCTAAAACTTTCAGTCCTAGTCCATCAGCATCTGTTATGTAGTGGTTGCGCTCTTCATCTTATACCTGAAACGTAGGAATTCAATTCCAACTTGCAGAAAATATGTGAACCCGTATGTGTGTAATTATCAGGTTGAACCCCTCACAGCCTGGACAGAAAATGTCAGCAGGCAAAGCGATCAAATGGTGTCAAATCAGGGTCGAAATAGTCACAAGATACAGTGGGTTACTCGATCAGACTGACTTTGAGATCATGTGATCAGAGGAGTGAAAAAATTATTTGAAACCACATGATCAGAGATGTGAAAAAAATATCCATCACCTAATCCTCCCCAACCCGAAAACCAAACCAGTCATGAAAGGCAAGAACTGTGTCTCTTGATTAATGAGCTACAAAGACTGAAACTTTTCTGTTTGAATCTACACCAATAGCAAGCTATTTTGGTCTCCTAATTCCCATTTCGGTACAAGCAGGTTCACTGTTTTACACACTTTTATTCCCAAACATAACCTATGTGAGGACTTGTATAAGCAAATAAACTAAAAATTCTTCAGGGACAATTTGAACTTATCAATAAGAGTCTAGTGTCATCAATCAGCTCAAACAGAACGACACAATGTAATTTCTTACTGATAACTCTACAAATCATTCGTTTATTTGCTATATTCAACTTACAAGCTGTGTAGTATGACGGAGCACATGCGAAATTCCCAAATTTTCCCCAGTCTCGAATCTGGATCCAGCATTAGCAACAACAGCAAGTCTTGCTACAGGGCTTGGAGTCTCAATGGTTCCAACCAGCAGCCCATTGTTGAGTTTCTTGATGTATGCCTGTGGAGCATGGCAATAGATATGACACAAGACTTACACTTAGTTTTGCACAAACCCTTTCGTTGCCACGGGTATGCGTTCCAACTGTCAGCACTGATTTTCAGCTGAGCAGGTTACCCAGGACATCAGCCAAATGTCTCAGTGTTAATGGATGCGTGGTCTGGATCTAGCACACCTGTGATATATTTCGGACACTGGGTCTTCAATTGAGTCACTTTTCTCACTTTTGTTATTTTCTATATCCTCCCATCTTACTCGTATTTCGAATAAACTGCAAATCTATGTCGAAAAGTGAATTTATTTGCCTTTTTAAAGTCATTTAGATGTTTATATTTTACGAAAGCATGCGGCCGCCTGCAAGCCTAGATCTCTGTTTATTGATCAATTCTGAGCCTAGCAGTAAAGTAAAACTAGCAAATTTAGTACCAATATGCGTGTCTTCAATTCCTGAGTGCGAAACTAACACCCCCCCCCCCCCCCCTTGTGACTAAAACTATGTACATAAAAATTAGAGCCAGGTTATTAGTGTGACGTACAAGTAACATCATACATACTGGCAACCAGGAGCTGCAAATTTAGTCAACTTCCATATTGTACATGGTACGGCACAGCACTAAAAATTATGCATTTTCATGACGTACCAGGTACATCATTTAAGGCAACGAAGGGATTAATTTATCTTAAAAAAATATAAAAGATTTTAAAAACTTATCATAAAGATATCTGAAAAACCCTGCACTCTACACTGTTATGGTGCAGCTGGGACTCTCCCCCAAAAATATATTTTCATATCTGCAAACAAGTAAAACAAAAGTGAATATTGAAAAAAAGCTTGCATAAATTATAAACTTCACTAATACAGTGTCACATACAGCTTACAATCCCTATCAATGTGTAATTAACTGCACTATATATTCAATGTGTAATTAACTGCACTATATATTCAAACAGAGACTCAATTCAATAGAGTCGAACCTGTTTTAATGCCCACCTGTACAGACAATCACCTGTACAAACAGCCACTTCCCATTTCCCCTCTGTGAGTTTTTTTTTTTACATTATGACACTATATAAGATGACCACCTGCATAAAAGGGCCGCTTATTGTCCTCAACAATGGGTGGCTGTCTCAGACAGTTTCAACTGCATTTAAAAGACGTATAATAGCATTCCATCCTGGCTAGAAAAATCTGTGCCATGGCTTCCCAAAGCAATCTTGGTAACCCAGTTTTGCTCCCATTTTCATAAACTATAATCCGCAGCAACCATTATGTATAAAAATATTCAAGAATTACTTTTCATCAACACGTTTTTTTATGTTGACTATCTTCATAAACGAGTTGCGTACTGATCAAGATTTAATGGTGATTGGCAAAGATTTCACATGACAAGGGGATCCAGGCTTTTGTCAGCCTCCTTGTGAAGGACATCTATTCACTTCCTAGATATCACAGAATGTAACATGGTGGAAGGCAATGCCCCCCTGACTCCCCCCAAAAAAATTTTAATCTGTGGGGGGGGTTTACAGTAGGCTAGATAGCCTAATGCTTGCATTGTACAGAGAAAGAAAGCTATGCCATACATACCCGAGGTTCTCTATCTACTGATGATGTGGACTCTGCTTGCGCTGCTGCTGCACTGAACATGCGGGCCTGAAAGAGACAACCACTGACATGAACTCACTGAGCCCTGGTCTCATGTATATAGGTCCCAAACATAGACAGGATCAGGTTTTCGCATTTTTCTCCAAGACAATAATCTAATATCATTCTCATATAGACAATGATCGTACATAAAAAGAAGGTTCACTCCTCTCTTTGAGCCAATTAAAAAAGTGTTCTCAAAATTCGGTGGCGCCCTCTTCGCAAACGTGCGAATTTAGCAAACAGAGTTATATCCTACTGGTATGAAAAAAAATCAAACTGAAACTACAAAGTTTTTGAATAAATTAGAATTCAAATTTAAGAAGAATGCTTTTTTGGTTGCACTGACAACTCTTCCGGTGAAAGGGGAGACTGTTTTCTTCGTTTAATTTGACTTTAGAATGAGAGGCAAGAGGTCTAGAATCTAGATCTTGATATCTAGATAATCTAGATTCTAGAGATCAGGAGGGTGCGATCATGAGGCACAAGCTGAGGGGCAAATAATGGCAGAGAAGGCGACACCTCTATTCTCACCCCGGGTGAGAATAGAGCAGGAGAGCCTTTAGGCTATTCTCACCCGGTGTGTGTTAACCGTTATAGCCTAGGCCAACTAGTGTAGCTTTCACCCTGAACCACAGAATTCTACACTGTGATCACAGAATTCTACACTGTGATAACAGAATTGTAGAATTCTGAGCCACGTTCCAGCGCTCTTGTTACTACTGTTAGCCTAAAAGCGTTGCAATTTTGTCTGTGGGCAGTGGAGAGAGAGAGAGAGAGAGAGAGAGAGAGA